GGTCGCTATCTGCTTACCCCTTAATTAGCGACCAACTTTGGTCGCTAATTTAAGTTATATTTATTTATATTTTATAAATTTTTTAAAATAATATTATAATTATATAATTATATAAGTGGGTCCCCCTGTAGCGACCAACGTTGGTCGCTACAGGGGGACCCACTTATATAATTATATAATTATATAAGTGGGTCCCCCTGTAGCGACCAACGTTGGTCGCTACAGGGGGACCCACTTATATAATTATATAATTATATAAGTGGGTCCCCCTGTAGCGACCAACGTTGGTCGCTAATCTCAGTATACCTTTGACCAATCAAGTCTGACCAGTCCGGTCGATATTTTGACGAAATTAGCGACCAAGTAGCGACCAACCTTGGTCGCTAATGTATATCAAATAATTATTTTATTATTTTCGCCAATTTAGCGACCAACTTTGGTCGCTTGTCTTGACAGACCAACTTTGGTCGCTAAAGTTTGGTCCCTTTTTTCCGGAATTCTAGTAGTGATACGGTATCAACTTATAATTAATTTATTTAACTAACTAATAACCAACTAATGGTATAGCTCACATCCAGTGTCAACTAACTACTAACTACTTAATTTGTTAACTAACTACTAATCTCAACAAAATGCTTAGTTGATACCTTGTAAGTAGAGCGTTAAGCCATGTCAATGTTAAGTGAAGAACTATTGTACTTGAATGGTAAATACTTACTCATATTAGGTATTTACACAAAATCATATTAATTTATTGTCGTTAAGTAATTTAATGATGTAACAATATATATCAACTTATCATAATTAAGTGTTAGAAGTCTATATATACACATATATCATGCAATTATAGTTTGATGTAATTATTAGGTTTAAGTAAGTTTACTGTTCTTGATTAGCGAACAATAAATAAAAATTAGGTTACTAGCTATGGACTCAAAAACAGGACCTTGAAAAATATTGCATTGTGAGAATTGTTTCTTCTAAGAACTAATCATGGAATCTATTTCCATCTTACAACGTTTGATCTTTTTGTTTACTTTTTCAATACAAAATGATTTCAAAATACATCCACTAAATAGAATAGATGATCAATTCAATGTAAGGAGCTAGAATAAATCATAGGATTGTTCCATCAATGTGATTCTACGTAGTGGAAAGATATTTTAATGAATGTAGTTCTGCACTATATTTAGTAGTTTGGTTAAATCATCATCCTGTATACTCCACATCTCTCTCAGTTACGTAAGCCAAGTTTTCATAGCTTACATATATCAAACGAATCTAATTTAATTATTTGATCTTATTAGGATCATTTCTAATCTCTATTAACGCTCTCCCACCTTAAACATTTAAAATCCTACACTGTACAAGAATTTTAAATTGTACCCCATTACTGTTTTTTTATGCATTATTTAATTCATTGTTTATTCAATGAATATATACCCTACAATTAAATATACTATCGGAGAAAAGATTTGTTTTTATTATTTCGTTTTACGTAAGAGCCAAGTGCCTAAGCATATGACCTCACATCAATTAATTCAGTGTACTACAAACATATTCATATTTGCCCCAAATGCTTAAAATATTTTGGGTTATTTCAAAATTAATGTTTTATCAGTTACATCTAAAAATAGAAAGGGGACAGAATAGGCATACATGCAAAATTAAAAACAGATGAAAAGAAAAGAAGACTTGAATTCTTTTTCAAAGCCATCACGTTGACCATCCAGATACACTGCATTAAAACTTTGGTCTAAATAGAAGGTTCTTTTACACGTGAGAACAGTTCTGGGCCCTATGATATTCCACGTGGAAAATTCTCCACTTTCTATTTTTCAAAACTAAGACCAAACTGTTTGAACCCCTTTATAAGCGCCAATTTACTTACCCACCTTAGTCCATTCTGCATGAAATAAACATGGATGAAGAGCCAAGCCATGGCAGAAAAATGGACACTAAAAATGGTGGAAGTGGCGGAGAGATAAAATATCGAGGCGTCCGAAGGCGGCCGTGGGGCAAGTTCGCTGCGGAGATACGCGATTCTGCTCGACAGGGGGCTCGGGTATGGCTAGGGACATATAACACAGCTGAAGATGCAGCAAGAGCTTATGATAGGGCAGCTTATTCAATGAGAGGTCATTTAGCTATACTTAATTTTCCTGAGGAATATAATTTGCCTTGTAGCTCTTCACATTTTTATTCTGGTTCTTCATCATCAAGGGAAGTTCTTGAATTTGAATGTTTGGATGATAAGTTGTTAGAGGAACTTCTTGACTGTGATGAGCAAAACAAGAGGAAATAAAGATGACCTCAATGTTCTGGTCTCTATTTTCACTATGAAAAATTGAGCTTTTTAATTACCTAAAATCACATTATTCTGTTCCTTGAGCCGATGGTCTATTGGAAAGAGCTTTTCTATTTGCACATGAGTATTATTTGCGTACACACTACTCTCTCCGAACCCTACCGTGGGATTACACTGAGGATGGGGTGGTTTGTTTTTTTTTCTTTTTCTTTTGGGTTCCCTTTCTCTTTTTATTATTTTAACTTTTTTTACTTTTTTTTTTTTTTGGGGATTTGATTTTTGAAAGAAGCACGCAACCTGCGGTTGAAATGCTTGTAACACTATTGTACTATCTATCCTTTGCAATGCAAATGATGAATGGTCAAGAAAAGTCTTTGTGATCATAAATATTGCCATTTCTCTCAAACAAAATTTTGATGTTTCTTCCATTTTTGTCAGCTATACTACTGACAAAAGAACCAAGTTGATAAAAACTTGTGGCCCTTGATAATTTCTCCATTAGGTTGACTTTTGTTAGCACTTTGCTTGCTGACAGCTAATAATATTTGAGTTTATGTCCAAAAATTCTACACTTGTCACATTTGGGTGTTTCATATGTTGGGACAAACTTTCTCATAATAGTGTGCATGCGCTGTGTCTCTATGTGTGTTAAACATTTATTTTTCTATTTATGTGTGTTAATTCTTTGCCACAACATGAATTATAAATGGCATTTGGACATATATCTGTGTATGCTAATGTCGTATTGAAGCTGCTGGACAATAATAGGGTGGGCATAAATACCGAGAGATCCAAAAACCTGGACCAAATTAATTCAGTTCTTTAGTATTAGGTACATTCTTCAGTATTAGTATCAATACTTAGGTTCTTCAGTTCGGTATTCGGTATTAGAGTATCGGTATTTTTATATTTCGGTCAATATCGAAATACCAAACCTTTTAAGTATATATATTACAACTATATTTATGTTTGGCTCAAGCCCTTGTCCATTTTGTAGTTCAAGTTAGTCTAGTACCACGTGGCAGAATGTGATTAGTTGGTCCTATTTAGTTGAGTTAACTCAGGTTTGCTAGAAGCTAATTATTCCGGAAGCTACTTAGAAATGGTTTTCTGTCAGTTTGGTATACTTCTAAAGTTTCCTGTTTATTATCCAGAAGTTGTATTCATTATCTTAATACTTTATGGTTTTATGCTTGTTAAAGTCATTAGCTTAGAGGTAGTATCGTTTTACTGCTATCAGGTTGTTGCACTAGTTAGGCTCGTATGCAGTCCATTTCGTTATTCTTTGTTAGTAGCAACTATGAGATAACTGGCAGTTTAGAATAGCACTGGTTGCTACTGCTCGTTAGCTAATATTGATGTTCCTTTAAAAAGACATAATTCCGTTAATGTATTAAATCAAAACCCTACCGACTCAACAAGAATATCTAACCGAACATCTTTGGTGCGATATTTACTATATACAATTGATTAAACTGCCACGACCCAAGTTCTCCCTCCGTAAATTGTTATGACGGCACCTATTCTCTACGATTAGGTAAGCCTAGCAATTTGCGGAAATGAAACGGAAACATAAAAAAGACTTAATATTTTAACAGGTAAATTTAATTAAGAAGTTTAGATGCCGCTCGACATATACAATAAACACTCTCGAACTGAATATAAGTACTACCAAAATCTGGAATATCATGAGTCACAAGCTACAGAAGTAAATAGTGCTTCTAAACTCCAGAAAACTATCAACGAAGAAAATACAAGAAGCCTATAACTTAAGGAAGAGTAGAGATGGACTTCTAGGTCTGCGGACGCGGCAGATATACCTCGAAGTCTCTAAGATCACCTCGCCTCACTGGAAATATGGCTGAGAAGAGGTACCTGGATCTGCACACGATAAACAAGTGCAAGAAAGGACATGAGTACACCACAACGGTACCTAGTAAGTGTCAAGCCTAACCTCGACCGAGTAGTGACGAGATCAAGTCAGGTCCCTATTGGTTTATATATATATAATAAGATAAAATAGTATGAAATATCACAATAAAGATAAATACTAACAGTCAATGAAAATGAAATCACAGAAAAATATCAATTCAGTACACAAGATAGCAACAGGGGATCTCCTGGGATACCGTCCTGTAGTCCCAAACGTAAATGTATAGAGTATCTCTCGGAATACCGTCCCGTAGTCCCAAATGTAAATGTGCAGGGGAGTCTCCCGGAATACCGTTCCATAGTCCCAAAGTAAATATCCAGTACAAGGGGTCTCCCGAGATACCGTCCTGTAGTCCCAAATATAAACGTGCAGGGGGATCTCCCGAAATACCGTTACGTAATCCCAAAGTAAATACACAACTCATTCAATATAAACAACAGTTTCAACAAGGAAAATCTACATTTCTGATTAAGTTCGTATCAAAGAAGACAGGTAATTCTTACTCTAAACATGCTACACAGAGTCCAGGTAGGCAGTTAAAGCAGTTAAGGCATGTAAGCGCGCTTTCCTAACTAAACAGGATGGCTACATATACTAGTATTGCTCAATAGAAGAAAAACATAGATATTTACTTAATGAAAATGGGGTTTTTCCACAAATAGCCCGTGTACGCACTCGTAACCTCACGTACACGACATCATATATCAAACAGTACCAAATCATAAGGGGAGTTCCCCACACAAGGTTAGGCAAGACACTTACCTCGAATCAAGCTCAAATCAATCCGAAATCACGCTCTTGCCACATGTTTCCAACACCAAGTGTCCCAAATCTAATCAAATCAATTACATAACATAAATATAGCTACAAGCAACTAATTTAGCTAATGAATTCAAAGCTAAGGTAAGAAAATAGGAAAAAGCCCAAAAATCCTCCATGGTCCCACGTCTCGGAATCGGGTAAAAGTCACAAATTATGAATACTCGTTCACTCACGAGTCTAACCGTATAAAATTCACTCAAATCCGATACCAAAATCTCGACCAAAATCCTAAAATTCGGCCTAAGAACCTTTCTCAATTTTCCCCAATTTTTTCACCCAAATCCCAAATTAAATGATGAAATTAAGCTTAGATTAATGAGATATAATAAAAAAGGAGTGAGGAATCATTACCCACAAACTCCATCCGAAAATCTCTCCAATTTTTGCCTTTTACCGAGCTCTCAATCAAAATTTGAAGCTATGAACTCAAACCCTCAATTTCTCTCTTTTTATGCCCAGCGATTTCCACTTATGCGGCTAGAGCTCCGCACCTGCGGAAATTCATTAACTCCCCAAATGCCGCACTTGCGCTCACTCTTCTGCAGATGCGGTTCCTCTTCTGCGGTTTTTGTGTCGCATCTACGACCATTGGCCCTCATGCCTCAAACCGCACCTGCGACCCCTTCTTTGCTTTTGCGGAGCCGCACCTGCGGGCTTCCCACCATAGGTGCGAAAACACCAGAACTAGCCAACTTCAAATTTTGCTCAAGACCAAATTTCCATTCGTTACACACTTGAAACTCAACTGAGGCCCCCGGGACCTCAACCAAACATACCAACCAATCCTAAACATGATACGAACTTAGTCGAGCCTTCAAATCATATCAAACAATGCTAAAACAACGAATCACCCTTCAATCCAAACTTAATGAACTTGAAATTTCAAAATTCTACAACTGATGCCGGAACTGACCAAACCACGTCCGATTGACTCTAAATTTTGCACACAAGTCATATTCAACAGTATGGACCTATTCTAACTTCCGGAATCGGATTCCGACCCCGATATCAAAAATTCCACTATCGGCCCGGAACTCCAAAATTTCGACTTTCTCCATTTCAAGCCTAAATGAGCTGCAGACCTCAAAAACACAATCCAAACACGTCCATAAGCCCAAAATCACCCAACGGAGCTGACGGAATCAACGGAATTCTATTCTGGAGCCGTCTTTATACTATTCCGACTACGGTCCAAATTCTAAGACTTAAGCTCTCATTTAGGGACTAAGTGTCCCAAAACACTCCGAAACTCAAAACGAACCATCCCAGAAAATCACAATAGCAGAAAAAGACACGGGGAAAGTAGTTAATAAGGGATCGAGGCGTTAATGGATAAAATGATCGATCGAGTTGATACATCCTCCTGCTCTTAAAACATTCATTCGTCCTCGAACGATCATCGAGACATACCTGAAGTGGTAAAAAGATGAGGATAACGGCTGCATATATCTTGCTCAGTCTCTCAAGTCGTCTCCTCAAGCGGCTGACCCCGCCACTGAACCTTTACTGATACAATGCTCTTTGACCTTAGCTTTCGAACCTGCCTGTCCAATATGGCCACTAGCTCCTCAACATAAGATAGATCCTTGTCTAACTAGACTGAACTGAAATCTAACACGTGAGGCGGGTCACTGTGATACCTCCGGAGCATCAAAACATGAAATACCGAATGAACTCCTGCCAAGCTGGGAGGTAATGCAAGCTTATAAGGAACCTCCCAACACGCCGCAACACCTCAAATGGGCCAATAAACCTTGGGCTCAATTTGCCCCTCTTTCCAAATCTCATAACGCCCTTCATAGGAAAAAACCAAAGCAAGACCCTCTCTCTAACCATAAATGAAACATCGCAAACCTTCCGGTTCTCATAACTCTTTTGTCTGGACTGGGTTGTGAGAAGTCTATCCTGAATAACATTAACCTTCTCCAAAGCGTCTTGAACCAAGTCTGTGCCCTATAATCTACCCTCGCCCAGATCAAACCAACCTAACGAGGATCTACACCCCTACCATATAGAGCCTCACACGGTGCCATCTGAATGCTGGACTGATAACTGTTGTTGTAGGCAAACACCGCAAATGGCAAGAACTGATCCTAAGAACCTCCAAACTCCATCACACATGCACAGAGTATATCCTCAACAATCTGAATAATGCACTCGTACTATCCGTCCGTCTGGGGGTGAAATGTTGTGCTTAACTCCACCCGAGTACCCAACTCATGTTGTATGGCTCTCCAGAACCGTGATGTAAACTGAGTACCTTTATCTGAAATGATGGAAACTGGGATACCATGCAGACGAACAGTCTATCGGATATAAATCTCAGCCAACCGCTCTGAAGATAGGTATTACACGCAGGAATGAAGTGCACGGACTTGGTTAGCCGATCCATAATCACTCAAATAACATCGAACTTCCTCAAAGTCCGTGGAAATCCAAATACGAAATCCATGAAGATCCGCTCCCACTTCCATTTTGGAATATCTATCTGCTAAAGCAAGCCACCCGATATCTGATGCTCATATTTCACCTACTGACAATTGAGGCACCGAGATACAAACCCAACTATATCTTTCTTCATCCTCCTCCACCAATAGTTCTGCCTCAAATAATGGTACATCTTTGCGGCACCCGGATGGATGGAATATCGCGAACTGTAGGCCTCCTGTAGAATCAACTCCCAAAGTCCATCAACATTGGGCACACATATCCAGCCCTGCATCCTTAATAAC